TGTCAGGGTTGCGACTTCGTCCTTTCTGGACGAAGTCCGCACGTGTGACCACACAGGGACCAAATGACCCAAATAACCGTACCCAGATGCCTCAAATTTTTGGTTCTCTTGGTCCTCGTGTGAGTATGCCCTAAGTCACCCAAGAGCCTAACTCAGTGGGTACACCCATGAACTGTTGAAATACAGACCTGTGTTCGAATCCAGATGATGGAACTTGATGATGAGTAAAACTAATTATTAACAAATTGCCTATTAATGAATTGCCTGGGGCCGGTCAGCTCAATGATTTTTTTTTATTTATTTTTTTAACCAAACACTTTATTATAACTGCTTATCAACGAGGCCGGGGACCTCACAATTCAACCCGGATGAACCACTGGCAGCCTCAGCCAGCTTAGCTTAAGCTTCAGGTGAGTATTTAAAACTAGGAGCAGCTCCGGTCCCTAAGACCTCTGTCCTGATATACTCCTCTGAGCAGAAAAATAAAACGCCTCCAAGGCCTTCAAAGCCTAACAAACCAAAAAGGAAAGAAAAAAGAAGCTTCTAACTCCTTTTTCACCTACTTTTCACCTTCTCCCTTAGGACTCTCTACCATTGCCACCTATACTTCGGTGGACTAATTCCTAGCACTCCCTCTGCTAACCCTCCCTCTGCCTGTCTCCTGCGACAATAACCTTGTCCATTGATCGAGTGCTCAAGTCTGTGTTTCCTGCCTTGGCTCCCCTACCCTTTCTCAAACCAATCACCAAAAGCTACCTTCCCTGCCCCTACCTTGGTCATCCTCCCGCCCTTCGCCCATTTGTCCTCAAACCATTTGATCCCTGTTTCCCTGTTGCCTCCTTTGCTAACCTTTTTTTTCCAGTCTGTCAGCACTGCTCTCCTCAGTAGCTGGATGAAGCTCCTCCTCATCTGCTTATTCGTCCACTCTTCTCCTTTGAACACTCTGTCATTCCTTTCCTGCCAAATAACTGAACAACCCACTGCTCGTGCCACCTGGGCCACGTAGCCTCAACCCTTCGAGATCGAAAAACCCTCATGCACCCCCCCCAGTAGCATCCACTCCCTCGACCATGGGAAAGATCCCTCGGTGCAGTCCTCCCAGAATTTTCCCCACCACTTCCAAATCCTGGCCGACGCCGGACAGTCCCACCACAAGTGCACCGTTGATTCGAACGCCCAGTCACATCTTACACAGGTCATCTCCACCTTCACCCCATGCTCTATCAGCCATACCGCAGACGGAGTTGATACCATCGATAATAGCCACAATATGGACGCTTGTCTCTGACAAGGGATCAGTTTCAACTGTTCCCAACACTTCGCCAGAGCCTTGCCAATTTTATCTGCCTCTAAGTCGAAGAATTACAACCATCTTGCCCTGGCCACCGACTCTGGTTGTTTTTGCGGTATGGATAATTTATATCCCAGCTATTGTGTATAGCTTTGTAGGCATAGGCTTTCTCCCCCTCTACCCTGTGCTCTCCATTTCCACATACCTGGATCTGCTCTCAACTCTGCAATTGCCTCCAGCAACCAAAATCTTTGGGCTCGTGCCCTCAAAGATTACTCGTACTTGAGAAAGTGTGGGGCCAAGAACTGGGTTGACCTCCGTAGATTCCATAATTCATTGGCTACCTTTGTGGTTTTCCCAACCTTGAAAAATCCTCCGTCCATCCGGCTTGATTTCCCGCAACTCCCATACCCTCTGCTCCTCTGGTAAGACTTGGATATACCATGTTCCGAGCAGATCGACTGCCTCCGGGGCGAGTAACTGTTTCCACTCAGCTGGGATAACTTTAATAATTAGGTCCAAATTTGCATCCACCTATCGCATTTGTCCCAGACATTCCTTCACCTCCTCTCCTGACTTCCAATTCTCTGGAGGGGTTCCAGATGTCCCTTACTCTTGAGATCCCTCGTTCGATCCATTTTCTTCCCACGCTTAGAGGACCTGCCCCTAACCACTAGTTGTCTTTTCCCCTTACCCTTTGATTCTCAAAAATCGGTTGTGCCAGCACCTCCCTTTTTGTGGTTGGCTCTTCCCATACGTTCGGTCGTAACTTCCTCCAGGCTTGAATTATAGCGCTCCACAGTGGCGACTTTATTCTCCTTCTCTAATAAGAGTCCACGAATATGCAGATCCACACATCACTTGGTCTTGCCAGATTCCATCCCTCCGCTAGGATTGTCTCTGCTAGATACACTCAATGTGGAGTTGACTCCTCCAAACATGCTCTCACAATCCATCTCACTAACATTGCCTCTTTCAGCTTTGCTGGGTCCCGCATTCCCAATCCTCCCTCTGATCTCAGCAGACATACCATTTCCCAGGCCACTTTCAAAAAATGAAATTCTCATGCTCTTTTGCGAACGTCTCTCTCTCTCTCTCTCTCTCTCTCTCTCTCTCTCTCTCTCTCTCTCTCTCTCTCTCTCTCTCTCTCTCTCTCTCTCTCTTCCGACGCGGAAGTGCTACCGACGTCTGCAAAACGGGTGCATCTTCCCGCTTTCCGCAGGAACATGCACTCCAGTTTGTTTGCTAAGTGAAAGCGGGAAGATGCACCCGTTTTGCAGACGTCGGTAGCGCTTCCACGCAAGAAAAGAGAGAGAGAGAGAGAGAAGGGGGGGGGGCGAGCTGCGCGGAGGGCCGCGGCTCCCTATCGAAAACAACAGTCCCTTTTTTTTTTTGTTCGTTTCTTTTCTTTTTCTCTAAATCTAGTCCATTATTTCGTTCAATTTTTTTTTCATCTTAAAAAAAAAAAAAATGAATACGGATTTTTTTTTTCTTATTTTTTTCCTATTTTCTCTTCCTTATATTTCGGAAGCAGGTTGGGTAGGTGGGCAACCGGTAGCTCCAGCCTTAGCATGGGTTGACAGACCGGTAGGCCGAGGCTCGGACTTGATAGCTGGGCCAAGTACTGGTGGTTTGAGTTGACCATTTCGAAATTGAAACAGCGTGTCAGTGGGTCCACTTTTCTCGAGTAGCAGAACACTTCGAATAAACCTCGTACGGGCTGTATTCAGATACAAAGGGTGTCTTTTCTATTCAAGTTAAAAATATATATATATATGTTAGAAATAACATTACTTTTTTTTTTTTAGGTTAGCGTTTGCCCCTGTGCTCTCCGCCACTGACATGTTGCATGCTGCAGGTCTCTCTCTCTCTCTCTCACACACACACACACACACACACACACACACACACA